GCTATGTGTCTTCTATGTAACGATCGTGATGAACAGGAAAGTGTTTGCAATATGCCAATATTTTTAGAGTCTAATTAGATGCACAAATTAGACAATGTAACGCACGCGCATCTTCTGTGCGTATCTTCTATTCTGCTTGCATTATTTGTTGATTAAAATGAAAGACTACACTTCATCTCTGCTGCTGTGATAGACTCAGCGATACAAGTCTCTGTAGGCTCTGATAGTTTCCTGATAGCTTACAGCGTTTCACAGGTTATGTGTCTTCTAAGTAACGATCGTGATGAACAGGAAAGTGTTTGCAATATGCTAGCTGATTAATAGGTACATTTGCAGCATATTAATATTTCTCCTTCTGAACGAGAACGACGATGGCTCTGTAGCTTGTCACACATAAAATTCGCGGCTACCTGGCATAAATTAAGCGATTGCCGTGAAGAGTTCGTCACTCTTGGTCTTTGCAAAATACGTTTTAATAAGAAATGCTTTGCCTGGACATGCCGATGACAACAAATTCTGCCGAGTGTCCTTTGCCGAGTACAATCCGCTGGGTTCCAATAATTTCTGACAGGAGATTTCATCACTGTGGTCGACTCTAATTATAAATTTTGTGCGGCCAATTCTGTACTTTACTAGGCTGATTTGCGTTATATCGTCACCACCGCTTTTAGGCAAATGTCCAGTTGGTGTTATGCATACCTGCGTTGGGTGTGGAGGAGCCCACCAAGGTTGCGATGTTGGTACTCCGAAGCCATCTGGACCATTGGCCCGCCGTGAAAATGTCATACAGAAGCTGGCGGAGTTGTGCACAAATTAGCTTGGTGATTTCTATAGCTTCCTGTATGAGTGTCAGTATTACCAAGTGACCATCCTGGTCAGCAATCCATTCAGAATGCTGTTTAATCCTATCTAACATACAAATTGAACATTGAGCCTCAGAAAATTTGCCTTAACTTCATTATTAGGTCTCGGATTCGTAGAAAACACTGTCTTAACTTTAGCACAGACTGAAGACAGTTGGCGATGAACTTCAAGCAGTCGTTTCTACTGCCGCCCACATGTTTGCATATCTTGACACAAAAGTCGACTTCTAGTCCACAGCTTCTTTGTCATAGACTTGCTAAGCAAGCAATCAAGCGTGCTAACTACTTCTGCTGTGTATAACTCAGGATGAATGTATAGTCTTGTTGACATATTCACGTACATATCTTTTTTGTTTTAATTGATACCTTGTCAAGACCACAAATACTTCTGTTGCTATATAAAATGGCAAGCACAAATTCACTCACCCCTCTTTCACAAACCGCCTGGACCCACGACAAACCATCACTGCGCTTCCCGTACAGTATTTATGCTCACTTGAAACTGTACACAAAAATGTAACCCTCTGCCAACGCTGTGACGACATCAGGAAGAACTCAACAAAACGCTGGTCCAACAAGGAGATCGCGGTAATGGCTCGGCGCCAATACTACTAACAACTAGTTATGGGTAAGTCGCTAACCTCCAACCAAGACAAAGCCAGACACGACAGCTTCAACCGCTACCTCGAGCCTACACCAATCCAGCTCTGCGCTATGATTGTAACGAATACGTACATGTTCACATTGCTCGACTACCGGACCGACGGCTGTTTCTGCCCTGCCTGAGCGGGTAACCCAGATGTTCCCCATACCCCGGCTAACCACGCTCTTGAAGTACTACTTCCAAATGTTGGTTCAAACCAAATTATCGCGCTTATAAAAGTTGGTCTCCTATAGGCTGTCTATACGATACCAAGACGGCTACGTTAATAAGACAATACGTTAATACGTTAAAATGCAAAATGTTAAATAAGTTTAGCTTCAGCCCTTGGTAATGAGCAAAAGATTGGGGGATTTTAGACTGAGACTATTGTCTATAAGCTCTGTTCTAATCACTCACTACTTCGGTCTAGATTTATTTATGTTTTAGCTATTAAGACTAGATATCATTTCATTGGACGCAGAGTTTATATTTCACGCCGCGAAACAATCACCTAATCAAAATATCCAATAAAATACCTCTAAGTCCAACTTAAGAAAATAAAAAGAAAATCAAAACACCCAGCTGGTGCAGTATATATCTGCACCTAAACCCCATCACTTGGTACCTAGCTACCCATCTCATTTAAGGCATAGACGGGCACATCTAGTGCTGGCTAGGAGGAATCAAGCCCATGTTGTCCTAAATTCTAACAACTATAATCCTGTCCTTTTCTCAGTGGATTATCTTGCTATGAGATCATTATCGAATTATACCATAGGTTTGTACCAACAACCATTTCATGCCTGAGAACCTTTCTCATAGTACTCCTATTAATTAGAGATTCCCAAAGTGTCATTTTCAGGTGTCAGATTGGTGACGTTCCTATATTATGTACAAATCTATTTTCAGTGGAAACCCCAATCTATATTTGGAAAGCCACCTAATTGTCCACAGTAGAGTCCCATACTCTACTGAGTACTGTCACATGTTCAGAATCGTGGATTTCTCAGTTCTTGTTCATGTCCAATTCGTTAAACGTATTTCAGTATTAAAAGTATAAACGTTTATACGTTTATACGGTTATAATATACGTTAACTGTGCAACTATTATTAGGAACCCGCTATTTTTACATGCTTGTTGGTCCCGCCTATGATAATTCCGATCCAGGCTAGCCAGGACATCCGAATGCATCCGTGGTCTAGTGCGGCATTGGCTCACCACCATCCTCGCTCCTTGACCGAATTATGACGGATATCCTGGTCCTAATCGATATTTCGTACTCTGCACCAACCTATTCTACGGCACTACACGGCGCAGACCCGATCCGTACCACAGAGATGGGTACGCTACTTAATAGATTAGTATGCGAATACATGGCACATTCGATAGTATCAGTGTTTTGTCAGCACCGGCTCGAATTGATTAGCGCTTATTCTTCATCGTCGACTCACTTGGCCCAAGCCTCAAACGGGAATTCACTGACCACTTCTTCCCATTGATTTTTCCCGAACCACTACAACGGCTATGAGAGCGATACCATATGTTCATACATTATAACATACATACATTGTAACTTATCGGGTTTTTTTTGAATAGAATAATATTATCCCTATATAGTCCGATGGCAGTTTGCTATAGTCTTCTGTAGAGCGGCATCTAAAGCTACAATGCATTTTTTTTTGCTGCGTTACTCGACCCTTCATTCAAACTAGTCACTCACAATATTTGCCTTTATTTACATCATAGTCTTCAATATTGTCATACATTTCCGGTTCCAACCAATCTTCCAGAAAATTCAGATACATCGACCGACTGGTGTTGAGACAAACTCCACATAAGAATGAAGCCTTGCAATATACACAATTTTATATAGATGGACATAAATATTTCTCACATTCTTCAATAAAATCCATCGACACGATAGAACTCCCCCCCCCCCCCCTTTTTTTTTGCCTCTGTCTGTAGTGGTGAGACAAGAGCTGTTTTAGCTTCATTAACATTCTCTATTGACACTACAATAGTAACAAAAAGTACGTACAAAGTTTTGTTCTGCTATTCGTATCTTTGCTGTAATATCGTCCGTTGCCGGCCTATTTGTTATCGGCCAAAACAGTATTAAAATTGCTCATTTATTTTGGACTTTTTAACGAACTAAGGTCCTCTTCTGTCTAATTATAAAGGGTAGTACATACACTATCTGTATACTTACGATCAGTTATTAGACGTAAACTCAAGCCCTTGTAGTTGTATGCCTGGTGCACGTTAGTGTATAACCATTATATACCACCTGACACAGTCCTATTTCGGTCCACTACCTGGCTACTTTTTGCATAGTGTCATATCCGAGATAAGTGAGCTCAGTCAGAAGTACCATTTGGAATGACGCAACTGCTATATTTATTAATCACGATGCTATGTAAAACGAGACTTTCTCTACCATCGGTCATGTGAAAATACCCGTCTCCGTGGTTTCGGATGAGTCAGCACTATCTCATTAAATTTTCTATGGATTGAAATTCCCTCCATGCCTCTCCTGACTATGAGGCGGTTCCTTTCCAATATTCTTTTCCTAAATGACAGTACACCTGGTATGAAAAAGTCAGCATCCTTTCTGTTCGGTACCTAGTGTACCGAACTGTGAACCAGTGAGACAGTCCAGTAATTCTAAAAATCTACGATCGGGTAGACCGTCAATCATACCAAAATTCTATATATGTCAGCTAATGTATAAACGTTTTTTTAGGGTCAGCAGTATTTGGTTAGCCACTAGTATTGGGTTTTTATGTTCCAATTTGTTATTGCATGAACTCGTGAAGGCTGAATTCGGCACAAGGCTCAAGGCTTAAAAGCCTGAGGCCTGAGCCCTCCTGAGGCCTGAGGCCTGAGGCCTGCAACTTTGCAAAAACTTAGAAGTGTTGAAAAACTTGAAATTGTCTATCAAGAAGGCTACATATGAAATCTTTTTAAAATATATCTCTGGCTCTCAGTCCCAAATTCCCAATAGAAATTTGATTAGTGCTTGCGATATGCTAGTGTTCACTCACACCTACGAATGGTTACGCGTGACTGATATTGTACACCAGTAGGTGGCGAGACTATCTTAGAGTCTGATTACTCTGGCCCAATGGGGCCCCTATATATTTAAATTGTACAAAATATAATTGCCAGGGTCCCAAGGCGGACCTCGGTAGTCGGTGCTGGAGTTATATTTTGCGACATCTTTACAAAACGTAGGTATCAAATTTTTGACAAACCGGGACGGTCTTGTAGGCATACACTATGGTGTGACTGTAATAACGGTATATACGAACGCGCAAATCATAGCTTGGTCACCCATGTGTCGCGACATTTTAACTTAAGAATGATTGTTATTGGCTTATACCCATTTTGTTTATTGTGTATTTTGAAATTTTGCCACAAGGTCAAAAAAAATAATCATTGGGCTTATTTGTACTGATGATGAACGCAGGCCACAGCCATCATGGCAGTGTTTCCGAATTATAGAGAGATACAGACACAATATTAATGAGTAACACGCTTCACAAACACCACCTCTGTTTATATATACGTACTGACATCTGCTTACGCCGATAGTACGTGCCACTAGATACAGTATGACCACATTCTCAGATTTGGTCGCTAAGGCCGAGGTCGTCGCCACTCGCGATGAGGCTGTATCAGCCGTCGCTTCTTGTGTGTCCGATAAAGATTTCCTAAATAAGGGAGATGCAGTAAAGGCACTAACTGATTCCATGAATAAACCTGCCAAGGGTGGAGCGGTTGCCCGCGAGGGTGCCCTTTGCGTTGCTGAAGCACTAGTTAATAACAATGGCCCTGCTGTAGAGCCATTCCTAGTAGCTATTCTACCCAAGGTAGTTGAACTACAGGGAGACAAGGTTAGACCCGTAGCCCTTAAGGCCGTCACCGTTGGTGAGGCTGTCATCGCTGCCATCCAGCCCAACCAGGTTGGTGCAGTTGTGCCTCTACTATGCCAAAAGCAACAGAAATGGAACGTAAATGTATTCCGACTGGAGTCTATCGCGGCTCTGATCAAGAGATGCCCCCTACAGATGCAGCCTTTCATGGGTGACATTGTCACTGCCCTATCAGAGGCTATGTGGGATCTTAAGGCAGAAGTCAAGGCCGCTGCCAAGAGCTGTATGAACGATGCCTGCGAGTCTGTTGATAACAAGGATATCAAGCCTTTCATCCCCAAGCTTATTGCCGCCATCGAGAAGCCCGCTGTTGTTCCTGAGACTATCCACGCTCTCGCTGCTACCACTTTCGTTCAGGCCGTGAACTACGGAGCGCTATGTATCATGGCCCCTATTCTTCTGCGAGGTTTCACTGAGCGATCTTCCGCCACTAAGCGTCAATGTGCTCGTATTATCGAGAACATGGCCAAGTTGGTTGATGAGCCTCGTGATGTAGCTCCTTTCCTGCCCAAGCTTCTACCCAAGCTTGAGGAGGCTATGGAGGAGGTTGCTGACCCCGAGTGCCGTGAGGTGTGTGGCAAGGCCGCCGCTATTCTAAAGAAGCGTGGAGATATGACCAAGGTAAAGGACGTAACTCTGTATGGAAAAGAGTCGTTCGAACCCGTATACACTAAGGCTTTGGCCAAGGATACCGCTACCGCGGTTAGCGACTATTGTGCATACATCTCATCATCTCTCATTGCCACTCGCATGCTTGATGATGAAGACTGGAATACTGCTCTTCTTCCCACGATGGAGTTGTTTGTGTCTGGAAACGCTAAGGAGACCCTATCCAACATTGTCACCGAGGTACACGTCGATCACGCCCCTATCGTTGAGGTCGAGGAGGGTGAGGAAGATGCCGAGGAATTGTGTAACACTAATTTCTCTCTTGCTTACGGATCCAAAATTCTTCTGTCGAACACTCAGTTGCGTTTGCTCAGAGGTAATCGTTATGGTCTAATTGGTCAGAATGATTCCGGTAAGACATCTCTCATGAAGGCTATTGCCGATAACCGTGTAGAGGGTTTCCCCAGCCCCGAGGAGGTTCGTACTATCTTTGTAGAGACTGACATTCAGGGAGAGCTTTCTGATCTTTCTGTTGTCGAGTACATGTTCGCCGATGAGTTGCTGAAGAAGATGGGTGCCACACACGAGGAGATGGAGAAGATTTTGAACGAAGTTGGTTTCAAAGACGGTTCACCTGCTAACACCAGCACCTCTGTTGGTGCTTTGTCAGGAGGTTGGAAAATGAAGTTGGCTCTTGCTCGTGCTATGTTGTTGAAGGCTGATATTCTTCTTTTGGATGAGCCTACCAATCACTTGGATGTGCACAACGTCAAGTGGGTACAGGACTACCTTACCAGTCTAGATGGTGTCACTTCCATTCTTGTGTCACACGATTCCAAGTTTTTGGACATCGTATGCACACACATTATTCAAATCTCTGATCTTAAGTTAGGTTTCTTCAAGGGTAATCTCAGTGACTTCGTAGTAGATCACCCCGAGGCTATGTCATACTTCAAGCTTAAGTCTACCAAGCAGAAGTTCTCATTCCCCAAACCTGGACACTTGGACGGTATCAACTCTAAGGGTAAGCCCATCCTTAAAATGTCGAACATTACCTTCACTTACCCCGGTGCCGAGAAGCCTCAGCTTAAAAACGTTACTGTGCGTTGTTCACTAGCATCTCGTGTAGCATGTGTTGGTGTTAACGGTGCTGGTAAGTCTACCATGATCAAGTTGTTGACTGGTGAGCTTATCCCCGACACTGGATCAGGTGAGGTGTGGAAGCATCCTAATGTACGTACCGCATACGTTGCACAACATGCTTTCCATCACATCGAGTCTCACTTGGAAAAGACACCCAATGAGTACATTAGATGGAGATACGAGCATGGTAAGGATAAGGAGGCACTAGAGAAGATCACGTTGATTGCTACTGAAGAGGAGAAGGAACAGATGGCCAAGCCTATTCAGATCGAGTACGAGAACGATGATGGTAAGATCATCAAGGAGAAGCGAACGTTCTCCGAGTTTACAGAGGGACGCCGTGAGGGTAAGCGTGGAGACAAGGAGTACGAAGTTCGATGGAACGGTATCGCAGAGCCTTCGTACGTGTCGGAGCGTAAGCTGGAGGAGGCTGGTTTCGCTAAACTTCTAAAGATTGTCGATGAGGCTATTGCTATGCGTGCTGGTTCGTACTTGCGCCCTCTATCAATGGCTAATGTGGAGAAGCATCTTGAGGATGTTGGTCTAGAACGCGAGTTCGGATCGCACTCTCGTCTTGCTGCACTTTCCGGAGGACAGAAGGTGAAGGTTGTGCTGGCTGCTTGCACTTGGCACGCACCCCACATGTTGATTCTTGATGAGCCTACCAATTACCTTGATAGAGACTCTCTTGGTGCCCTTGCTGGTGCTATCGAGGAGTTCGAGGGTGGTGTAGTCATGATTACGCACAACAACGAGTTCTGTTCATCTCTATGTCCTGAGACTTGGGTGCTTGAGAACAACACTCTCAACTTAAAGGGTGATCCCGAGTGGATGAAGAACGCCTTGAAGGAGAAGATTGTTGACGAGGGAGGTCCCGCGACTATGACTGATGCGTACGGTAATGTTACCAAGGTCAAGGCAAAGAAAAAGGCCTTGTCACGTGCCGAGAAGAAGAAGAGAGACAAGAGACGTGCTGCCAGAAGGGCTCAGGGCATTGAGACCGACACAGAGTCTGAGAGCGAGTGATCTGGGTCTACTCGAATCGCTTACGTTTGATTAATATGTTTAATCAACCAGTGCACGCGTATCGTTATGTTATATCTGCAATCATTTAGAGTATCCTGACATGTTTAGTATCTTTTCACTTTCACCTTTTCACCTCCAGACATGCCAATAGCTAGAACACCACGCGAAAGCGTGACGTGTCGGTTGTAGGTACCCGTTTATGTATTATGTATCGAACGGGCGTCGTATTCGAACGTGTCTGTATATATTCACATTTACCTTGTCGAGTGGTTGCCCTGCTCGTAGGTGTTGGGTACATACCACTAATCATCACGTAAGATTATTATTGGAGGATATAGTCTGTAGTGGTCTATATCTAAGAGTATAGTTTACATTCGGTTTGTATGTCCTGCTGCGGGGCTCAAGTTGCTTTGTAATCAACGTACGAAATAAAGTAAATGCAAAAATAATGCGTTGTGCCTTCATTTTCTGGGACTACTTTGGTTTTGTTTGTGCCGTATCTTCATTACTTTCTTTGTTCAGCGTGTATATATACGGCTACTACTGCCCAGAGCGCAGGTGATG